CTGCCTGCCCTGGGTTGCTCCCAGCGCCTTGACATTTGTGTTGGTACTCTGGTCCCACTGTCTCAGTAGTCCTTGGCCTTGGTGATTGTGTGTTCACTGGTCTCACCAGTCTTGGCCTCCTGTTGTCAGCCTTTTGGCTGGACAACCCCTAGGCCTCACCTGGTCCCCAGACCCCCTGAACCAGTCCACCAATGACTTTTGGCCCTCAGGCTCCTTGCCACCAGAAGATCCACCACTGACCAACTCTGGACACCCCTAAACTGGACTCAACACCTGGACTCACCTCCTACTGACACTCCTAGGCTTCATTACACCGGTCTCATGACCTGCTGGTCCCTGGTTCATGCCTAGCTATGTCTGGTCTTCCAGTCCTTGTCCAAACCAAACTCTAGCTGTCCTAGACAGTCCCTAGTCCCTTGCTGACCCCCAGAAGCTCATCTGGCCTGTTCCAAGGTGCTTGGCACCTGGCCTTGCCACTACTGGCCTCAGGTTTGCACCTTGCTATCCCTGGTTACCCCAGTCTCAGTGTTAGCCCACTGGCCTACACTGTTTTGGCCTCCAGTTGTCAGCCCACCAGCTAAATGGCACCTCAGGTCATCCCCAACTACCCCAAACCTCTCCACCCCCTGGGGAATGCATGGGTGCAAGTTGTTTAATCTGGGAATTTGTTAGATCTTATGGGGTGCAGGTAGGGGAGTGGGCATTACAGGATAAGTGCATCCAGTATGGCATCCATGTCATTCTCTGGCCAGATGTTGATGGCACAACCATGGTTTCTGAGTTGGATAAACAAATAGGAGGCATGCAAATGGTGATATTGATGGCAGTGGCAGTCAAAGATGACATGGAAATGGATGTGGTCAACAAAGATGTCACTTTCAAAAGGAGTTGTGTTTGGGGGGAAGAGGTTGTTTTGGTGTATGATTTCAATGTCATTGTTGAGCTGCTGAAGGCATACAAGCCATTGTCCATTGTATCTGGCTGTGGATAGGAAGAATGCCAGAATGGTTGACATTGGTGGAGGTGGAGGAAGCCGATGTGTTAAGGTCAATGTAATGTAGATGTTTCTGGTAAGGTAAGCAAGGAGCAGCTAAGAGTGAAAAAGTTAGAGCAAATGATGATGACATAACCAGAGAGGGGGGGCAAGAGATGATGTGCTGAATGGACTGGGTTTCTAAATCACAAGTCCGGCAATCTCTATGCTGCTGTCAACATTCAGTTCAGGTTTGGGAAGGCAAGGCTCCTGCAGAAGATAGATGGCTTTGTTGAAGTGTTGTCACCTCTACTTGACTTTTGCTTACATTGTACAAGCTTACATAATAAATCTTCGCACTTAAGATGTTTGTTTTTCCTTCAGGTGTACCTCAGACTTCTTCTAACTGAAGCCTGAGGTAATTGTTCTTCTTTGTTAATTAATAGCTACCTTACTGACTTACTACTGTAGTCTCCTTCCTAGGTCCCTCATCTTGGCCTACCTTCAATAGGCTTGTAATTCAAATTGTGTTTTAGAAATAGTCCATTGGCCATTTTCATCCTTTTGATGATAGTGATTGAAATGAGTTTTGAGTAAGATGAGCATGCACTTCTCAAGGTGGGAAATGTCTAATTTCTTCATTGAACTTTTGCTTTTCAGAATCTCTCAAGCATTGAAAATCGAGTTGAAAAGAGTGCTCTATGATGACAATGCATGAGGCTTCTGGGAGGCAAGTTTTAGGACATATGATGCCACCACTTTTGGGCCTCTGCCAACAAACTGCATGGATAAGTCTGTGGTCATACTCATTTAGTGCTGCAGATGCTGATGATGCTTGTTGAGTTCAGCTGAGCATTACAGGTGAGAGAGAACATATGTAGTATGGGGTTGGAAATTCACAAAGCAAAATGTTGGTGTATTGTCTGATTTTTGTTGATAGAGGAAGTATGGTGATAGAACATTGGCTGTTGGTGCTGCCATCTTTCATGAACCATGTGTTGGTAATGTGACTGAGAATCCAGATGTTGATGGGTTCATTTGTATTCAGATTGCAGAGTATTTTGCTGCAATCATCATAGGGGTCGGTGATACCCCAGGTTGTGCTGGGCAGGATGTGCCCAAGTGTGAATGTGTTGGCTTCACTATTTGAATACATAGAGGGTTTCGATCCACCTTGGGGTGTGGCAAGGGGACCATAGCTTGCAGTTAGTCTTCGAAGGTTACCAGTATCCATTGATGCCTACCTTAGCAATGGCTCTGGGCAGGTGGCCATGTGCTCTGGGTCAACAACCCCTGAGTTCAGAGGTGGTCCCACTGCACTGACAGTTCCAGGGGTTGCTGGTGGTAGGAGCAGAATATTGTTTGAATGTGTTTTGGGTGGTGAGCCAGTGGATTTTTGCAATTGGGAGTGTACAGTTTGATGGGTGGTTGAATGGTTGGTGGTGCTGGAAGTGCTTGTGCTGGGCAATGTGTCTGTTGATGGGGTGGAGGAACTGTCATGATCACCACAGGTGGGTTGTGGTTTGGTAGTTGTTGTAGTTTCAGAAGGCTGCAGGGCTGTCTCTGGAACACTGGGATCATTGGCACAGGGTGTCATGGTTCCAAGTGACAATGTGACTGTCTGCATTCATTTGGGTGCAGATGCTTCTTTAGTTTGAGATGCATCGCATTTTGGGGCCATAACAGGGAGCGAAATCACAAAGCTATGTAGAGGTGTTTGGAAAGGCTCTAAGGGCCATTCTCCAAATTGCTGGGGTTGGCTGCAACATGGATGGCAATTGTTGGGGATGGCAGAATGACAATTGAATTTGATAGGAGCATCAGTGCAGCTGATTGCGATGGGGGATGTACAAATGCCTTGGGAGGGGACTCAAAATGGAGTGAAAGCTAGCTCGTTATTACATAATAGGAGTTCAATACAGGGAAGCATTCATTTTATGTAGTGTGTCCCCTTAGAAATACAATATCTACATACATACACTTGTTAAAATTGAGATATTTGAACATAAGATGTAGGCTAAACATACAATGAAGACTTGGGGGGATGGAGCATTTTCTCTTTCAAGGTGGCAGGTAATGAACTGTAGGTCAGGTCAGATTGAGCAAGCAGACTTGGTATGGGAGGGAGACATACATGCATTACATTGCATATGTACTTGGCATGGATGCAGAGGAATGATGCTGACTTCATAGTGAAGTTGAGGTAGTAATAGGGTCCTGCATGTTGTATTTGGGTGCCCAAATGTCCACAAGTTCTTTGGTGGTTCTATTAGTGTGCATGCATCTTATCTCCATAGGTCATGATGTGGAGGATGGTACTCCTCTAGGTTGGAGGGTTGTCAGAGTATAGGTTGTAGTAAGGAGCAATGATGGTTACATTTACTTGCAAGTCAAGAAGATGTGTAAGTGAGATTTGCTTGCTTGAGTATGCACCACAATGGGATCAAACTTAGTGTTGACTTCGATGGAGTCCCCTTGGGATAGTAGAACTTCATGGATTGGTGTTATTGTTCCATCTTGATTTCTTTCCAAAATCTCCATGGGCCCATTCCATTCCCATGGGGGGCCTGGCAGTCTTGGATTGTGTGCATTCTGAGCAGTCATGTCATGTGCCAGAGGGAGGTCCCAAGGTAGAGATTCTTAGGCCTCAAGTGGTTGCTGATGGCCATGATTGGAAACATGATAAGAAAAAGAAGGGCATGTAGGGACATGCAATACCTTTGTAAAAACTTTCCTCTGCATGTGGAGATGGCTGCAGAACTGAACAGATGGAAGCAGGACTTTGAGAACTTGGCACACAAAGGTTGCCATGAGGTTCAAGCACTCAAGCTGATTCCACCATGCAGTGGTATTCCCAGCACTGCACAGAGACAGGCTCTGCACTGCATATGTGGCTTTCACACAATCTCTGCAGATTTCTCAGAATCATGGTGGTCTCTGAAAATATAAAACAAACCCATTCCAGTTTCCAAAATTCCCAACACAGAATTTGTCCAGGAAACTGTGGATACAGACAGATACAGGGTACAACACACTATAAGGTTCAGGGATGGGCAGTGTCTTGTAGATGAGCAGGTGTGACCACCTTTGATCAGCAGAGGTGGGATCTTGAGCAATAGTCACCCACTCAACCATATGGCTAAGAGAGGATGGGAAGGATTGCCATTGCTGTAGGTCATCAACAAGCATGCAGCTGTGAATAATTGCTTTCAGGTCCTCCAGCCAGAGGTCTGTGCTGAGTAAGTGACCTAGTGATGGTAGGAAACACATTGGGGGTATGGAGAGAAAAGACCAGCACTGTCCTTGATTATAAATGCGAGATTGGTGAAGCATGATTGTTCCTAATATAAGAGAGCTGAAATTGCTATAGTCTAGGCACCTCAGAACAGGGATGAAGTCAACAACATCGTCACCATAGTGTTTGGATGGCATTGGGAGTAGGTTGTGGCTGTTATGGCATCAAGATTTGCCAGGCACTCCAACTCATTATGCAGATTGTGCTGGAAATGACCAAGACATCGATGGGGTGAGAACATTCGAAAGATGGCTAAGCCTGACAAGGAACAAGCACAAGATAACATAACATATGTGTGCTGCACACCTCTCGCACTGGCTAAATCAATGATAACCTTTTCAAGTGTTGTCCCTTGAGCATTGTAATCAGTGAAGGCCCAGCCAGGTATTACTGGGACCTGGTGCCAAGTAATCTAGAATCTTCCTGTGTGTTCAGAAAAGTAAGAGAACATACAGTTTTGAGGGAACACAGCAACAATGTGTGGGTCTTCTCCAGGCAACAGAAGGGTGGACATGGGAACTGCCACATACACACAGTGAATAATGCATTTACCATGGACTGTAGTACAAACAATGTCATGCACAGTCCCATGCATGCCATTTATGACTTTTCTCGTGACTGACAGTTTTTCCAAGATAAGGACAGGCATGCCTGGAAACAGAGGAAGCTGTCCAAGGTAGTCCTTAGATTCTTTTGGCTGAACCAATGCTAATCAATTGTCTTCTTCGCCCATCAGGCATTCTCCATCACAGAAATGTTTGGCATAACAATATTCAAATGATTGACCAGTACTACAAGCAAAAAACTTCGCCATTTCTTCATTCCAATGATCACACAGGTGCTGCTCTGCAAAAACGATTGGATTGGGGCCTCAGCAAATTGTTGAAATTCATGTTTGTCATTTTTATGCAATTCAGTGAGTAGCCTTTGTTGGAGATAATGCAAATCAGAAGGCTGGCTGATGCTGGATGTATCTGCAGGACCCAATCTAATGCAGGCAAGCATCTTGATGAACATAGGATCCACCTGTGCTTGTTCATTTTGAATGAGCTGTATGACATGTGTTAAAGACCTCCATAGAAATGCACCAAATAGTTGCCACTGAGATTTCACCATTTCAAATGTACACCTTGTCAAGTTATTTACCACAGCATGTGAATATAATGCAGTACCATTTAGAGCATGGAACTGGGCCATATTGCCAGTGAAGATGACATTGACCCCACCAAAGGGCAAATCCTTTTTGGTCAGATCCCTGGCTTTGGCAAGACTGATCCGACTCGCAACGTCAGACAGAAGCTCTGCAGAGACCATCAAAACCTCATCCAAAACTAGATATGAGATGCCATGCCAAATGTCCTGCAATTCATCCATGTCCACATTATGAAACCTTTGCAGTGAGCTGAAGCTCCAGATCACATGATTTAAGTCATGTGACACACCTTTGCTGTGACCCTGAGTGCCAGATCATGTGACTAATGTCACATGACCAAGCCCCCACTGACTCCACAATGGGTTCTCACATCACCCCAGATTGCAGTGACATGGAGAATCCCCAGGGGCCATGGAGAATCTCCAACATGATATGGAGAATCCCCAGCCAGGCATGGAGAATCCCCAGCATGCCATGGAGAATCCCCAGCAGGCCATGGAGAATCTCCAGCATGACATGGAGAATCCCCAGTGGGCTGCATCAGGAAAACAAAACTTTTTCTAAGTGGTCTAATAATCTACACTACATCTAATGATGTCTTGATATTTGCAGCACTTTAGTGCTCATTGTCTAACATCATCTAATTCATGCTGTCTTACTGGCACACTTTTTTTTCTGTGGTCCTAATGTGGTCTGTGAGTGACTTATTGATATCTTCATGCCACTATATTACTGTAACTCTTGATTCATAGTACTTGTCACAACCATGCATTTACTCTAAGTCCCTACTCACTCCACACCCTACTCCACTGCTCATTCACACTCTCTGCACCAACTCCACCTGCACTCTACCATTTATGAGTCTCCTCCACTCTGCCTTCTGTTGGACTTGTACCAGTCTCTCATCAGACCATGCAGACCATCCTCCAAGAGGTCATGTGACCATCTTTCAGACTTCTTGTTGACAGTGCACAGTCAGGTACTCTGCAGCATGTGCACCACATGGTCCATCACCTGGACTGTTTCCTTTTTGGCTTGTTCTGTGTTACCTGTCATATGTTCTCCATCTTCTCTTCATTCATCATCCAGGAAGTTGTTACTTGAAAACTTATGAGTCTCCATATGTCAGTCCTGATTCCAGTTACTGTACCTCCATAGCAGCATAAAAGCATGTACAGTACTCCACTGTTCTTCAGTATGAATATCACCAAAGTTCCTACTCCATCTCTCTCCATCTTCTGCCTGTCAGAGTTATCTCCAAACATCTGTCTGGTCTCTTCCTCTGAAATATGAGGGCTGACATCATGCAAGGGGGTAGTGCACAAGCTAAACCTGACACCCTCACTCTGCTCCATTTCTGCCTCAGCTGACTTTGTCCCTGCCAATCCTCCACTAGTCAGAGTTACATTCATCTGTATCAGACTTGCTTCCACACCTCTCTCCAGACCTGGTTAAGCATCAGAGTTGTCAGAGTGGGCTCAGACTTGACAGTACTCTATAGAACCATATGTGTCTTGCTTAATTCACTTGCTCTATATGTTCCTTGGCATCCATTCCACTTATACATCTACCTTTCTGAGATAATTTGTGATTAGAACAGTTAGAACAACCACTGTTTTCCTGATGCATGGAGAATCCCCACCAGGACATGGCCTGGTAAAGTGGGTCTATTTAGCCTGGGGAAAACCCAGGTTCACCCTGGAAAAGGGTCTAATTACCCTATGGGAAGCACATGTTCTGCCTGGAAAGCAGGTCTATTTACCCTGGGGAAACCCAGGTCAGCCTAGAATGTAGGTGTATTTAGCCTGGGGAAATCCCAGGTTCACCTGGAAAGCAGGTCTATTTAGCCTGGGGAATGCCCAGGATCAACCTGGAAAGGGGGTCTATTTAGCCTGGAGAAAGTCCAATTTGGACCCCAGCTACCCTTTCATTTGATGTATAATATATATATATTATGGAGAAAATGTTTTCTCCAACCATATTAAATTGCTGCCCTGGAGAATCTCCAGGAATGGTGGTGGAGAATCCCCAAAAGTTGGGAATTCCCAACAAAATGACACCTATTAGGTTAATACTTATATCAAAATCTCCAGACCTAATAGGTCTCCAAGGGGGGTTGACTGAAAACCTTGAATAACAACATCAAATGCCTTAGCTGCAGCAGCAGGATGCAAAGCAACAAAGACTGCTCATTCATAAGCATTCAACTCATGCCACCAAGTAACCTCCATTCCACCATAATGAGCAACAAGGAAATTGGTTTTGTCATGTGGATTCAAGGTAAGAAAGAACACAGGGGTACCTAGTCACTGTGTCAAAGCCCAGATTTCATTGCAATGGCACAACTTATATCCATCACTGCCAGGCAATGACCAACATACCACATTAAGTTCTCAAAGCACATGCAAAGCCCTCTTCTCACCCACAGAGTCCATGTGCACCTTGGGATTCCATTTTAATTTCTCAGCCAATGATATTATATTTGACTCTACCTTCCACACATCATTCACAAGGCTGTGTCACTGTGCAGATGGTATGCTAAATGTGGTGTTCTCACTCACAGCCCATTTCTGCAAAATGTTCCAACATATGAAGGGGAAAGCTGTGTCCCATGCAAAAGGGGAGTCAACCTGCTGCAGCAGATTTCTGAGCTGACAATGAAATGAAATTTGTTGATCTGGATGTCAAGCTGGATGGTTAAAGGCACTGATGCCCCATGGATCCAAATGAGGAAAAACTGCAGTCATAAAGCCCAGTAAGTTCTCAATCATCATCTCAGAACCTGTCTGACTCACTAGAAATTTTTTGTGACTCAATGCATGAGCCAAAGAATGTCCTCCTGGAGGTCATACTGACAAACAGAATGTGCTGTCCAAGCTGGATGAGCTGAGAGGGGGCAGACAAGGATGGGATGTACCAGGATGCTTCAGGATGGAAGCTAGTAGGAATTCCTGGTAAATATACATAGCCATGGTCACCAGCAAATGGGACAAGCAAAATGATTGATGTGGAGGTGGCCATATCAGAACAATTAGCAAAATGAGCATCTTTTGGAGGGAGTGCTGTAGAAATGTGTGGAGTGCACAGATCCTTTCCAACTTTGGAAAGTAGGATTGCATGGCTAAGCACTACAAGCAAGTGTGGGAATGGTGTCAATATCTGCAGACATGGTGGAGATACATCAAAAACCAGAATGCCATATGCAGGTGCTTAAGAATTTTTATTTGCAATTAGCTCACTTCCTTCTTTTTTCTTTGGCATTGATGACTCATTCCTGTGCAAAGGATGACTGCCAACAATCCTGGCTGTCATTCTATCCATGAGGGCTATAGTCTTCATCTCCATTCATCAGCAGTATCCATGTCCACATCAACAAACACCTTTGGTGTGTGACAGCAATCAGTAACTGACATGTGTGCCTTTCTTGGACTTGTCCATTACATCACCAACCATCTCCCCAATCTCATGGAACATACATGTATCCTGAATGCACTAATGACCCAAACTGTGGAGCTCAAGTTCCCAATCTGGACTGATGACCATCAGCAGGCCTTTCAGGCTATCAAGGATCTAGTACTCTGCCCCCACTGATCTAGTAGTACTATTGACCACAACAATCCAGGTGACAATCACATTTTTCTTACATGTGATGCCTCAGACTTCTGTACAGGTGCAATCCTCTCATGGGGACCTACCTGGGAGACTGCATGACTGGTTGCCTTTGATTCTATGCCTCTGTGTGGTGCTGAGCTCAACTACCCCATGCATGAAAAGGAACCCCTCACCATCATCCACACCCTGAAGAAGTGGAGGGTCAAGTTGCTTGGTGCCCCAGTGGTTATCACATGTACACAGATCATTGTACCCTTCAGAGTGTTGCCCTACAGTGCAACCTCTCCCAACACCAGGCCTGATGGCAGGAGTATATGTCACAGTTTGACCTGTCTATCCATTATGTTCTGGGCAAGCATAATGTGGGCACTGATGTGCTGTCTTGTTGCTCAGATGATGTTCCTCCTGTTGCTGCAGTAGAGATATTGAAAGGTTATACAGAAGATCCCTTCTGTTGATGTCTCTTCTCATTTCTTGACTCCCTCCCTGGCCAACAGGAATGTGATGGTCTGTTGTACCTTGCAGGTCATCTGGTGATCCCTTGCATGCACTCTCTTCATGAACACTTCTTTCATCTTGCCCACAATGCCTTGGGCCACTTCAGCACAGATAAGACATATGCAGCCCTACAAAACTCTTTCTACTGGCCTAACATGCACCATGATCTTGCATCTGTGTATATCCCTGCTTGCACCCACTGTATGTGCAACAAGTCTCTGACTACAGCACCTGCAGGCCCTCTACACCTCTTGCCTGTCCCTGATGCTTGTGGAAACTCAGTTGCCATCAACTTCATTGGTCCCTTACTGGAGGATCACAGCTTCGACATGATCATCACCATGACAGATCATCTTGGTGCTGATATGTGCCTTTTGCGCTGTTGGAGTTCCATCACAGCCACAGAGTTTGCCTCACCATTCTTTGACCACTGGTATTGTGAGAACAGTCTCCCCTTGGAGATCACATCAGACAGGGATAAGCTTTTAATGTCTCACTTTTGGAGGTCACTTCACAAACTGACAAGTGTTAAGCTTAAAATGGCATTGTCTTACCATTCTCAGATGGATGGAGCAAGTGAGTGTACTAACAAGACCATTAACCAATACATTCAATTTCACATCAAGCATAATCAGAAAGGCTGGGTCAAGGTCCTGCCTAGGGTACATATCTACATCATGAATACACTTAATAATAGCACAGGGTTTTCCCCCTTCCAATTACACCTCAGATGCTCCCCTCATCTCTTGCCCCCCATCTCCACTTCAGAGACCAATGTGGATGATCACAGTGATGCAGCCAGTTTCCTGGCTTGTTTGGCTATGGATGTTCTTGAGGCATGCAATAATTGCCTTGCAGCTAGGGTGGCTCAGGCCCATGTGGCCAACTGCCATCACATCCTTGACCTGAAGTTTGTGGTCAGGGACAAGGTTTGGCTATCTACAAAACATTGTCATCATGAGTATATTGCTAATGGTACCAATTGAGTAGCCAAATTTATACCTCAGTATGATGGACCATATACCATTTTATTGGCTTCCCCAGAGATGTCTACATACATCCTGGACATGCCTTGTGTGACAAATGCATGTACCACATTCCATGTTAGCCAACTATGCACCTTCATGCCCAATGACACAATGCTTTTCCCCTCATGTGAGCTGCCTCACCTGGGCCTTGTGGTCATGGCAGATGGCCAGCTGGAGAATTTGATTGAGTGGATATTGGATGAGAAGTGGGCTGGAAGGTCAAAGAAATATTTGGTGCAGTGGTTAGGGTTTGGGCCAGAGGATGATGAGTGGTTGACAAAGAAATATTTGGAGGATTGTGAGGTGTTGGACACTTGGGAAAGGGAGCCCCCACTATAGGAATGAAGTTGATGGTTTGGATCAGAGTTGGAGGTTTGGATCAGTGATGAAGAAGAAGTTGAAGAAGAATTGCTCACTTGCACTCACCCCTCTTCCCCCCAATTTCTCTTTTTTATTGGTTGGGAGGGTGTAAGCATACACTTACTACTTACACATGCACCACTCACATGCCACTTACAATATCACATCACACTATTATGTTTCCTATCATGCCCTTGTTGTCAAGTCCAGGCCTACCCTGAGCAACTCCAATGTTGGACAGGGTCTGGAGAGAGGTACAGAAGCAAGTCTGACATAGAAGAAAGAAACTCCAACTAGCAGAGTGTCAGCAGAGACAAAGTCCACCAAGGCAGAGGCAGAGTGGAGTGAGGGCATTGGGTTTAGCTTGTGTGCTACCCCTTGCACAATCTCAGCCCTTGCATTTCAGAGGTAGAGACCAGATGGACAGTCAGAGGTAACTCCAACAGACAGAAGATGGAGAGAGAAGGAGTAGGAACTAAGTTGATATTCATACTGAGGAGCAGCAGAGTATAGTACATGCTTTTATACTACTATGGAGGTATAGTAATTGGAATCAGAACTGACATATGGGGACTCATAAATTTTCAAGTAACAACTTCCTAGACAACAAATGAAGGGAAGGCAGAAAACATATGACAGGTAACATAGAACAAACCAAAAAGGAAACAGTCCAGGTGCTGCATGCACTGCAGAGTACCTGACTGCATGCTGTCAAGGAGAAGTCCAAAAGGAGATCACATGACCCCTCAGAGAATGGTTTGCATGGTCCAATGGTAGATCAGTACAAGTCCAACAGCAGTCAGAGTGGAGAAGGTTCATAAATGACAGAGGATGGGTGGAGTTGGTTTGGAGTGAGTGAATGAATGACTGGCGGAGAAGGGTGTGCAGTGAGTGAGGACTTAGGATAAATGCATGGTTGTGACACTCATTCTGTGTCAGGGCATGCAGATCCCTACTGTGTTGTACTGTTTGGATCCTGGGGGTATATATACCAGTGCTGCATGTATGTGCATCTCTTCTTTCCCTCTTTCTCCCTTGATCATCTTGTACCAGCATATATGCTTGGTGGTCCAATCCACATGCCTGTCCACATTCTGTTGTTGTTGTGATCTGTCCTGAGTGTACTCACCCCTACTGTGGTGAGTTCCACCAGGTGATGGTGGAACTCTAAACCATAACTGGCTCACAATTGGTGCAATTCCACTCAGGCTAGCAGCAATCAGCAGTGCTGCAGTGGAACCAGATCAGCCCTCAGCAGCATGCTGCAAAAAATGCACAAGTAAAGTGTGGCAACAGCACCTACAGTGGCTCAAAAAACTGTCTGCATGTTTGCATATTTTACACTAGTTATGACTAAATTCAATAACCCCTAACCCTAGCCCTAAACCATGAGTGTATGAAATAAAATACTTACCCTTGGCTTTCTATGGGTCCAAGAATTAAGTAATTTGGATAGGAATTGATAGAATAGCAACCATTTGAATATGACATGTCATGCAGACAGTTTTTTGACTTTATAAAAATCCAACTATCTAGTACTTGGTATGAGCTCCTTTGGCCTTGATAACTGCTTCAACCCTTCTAGGCATGCTTTCTATTCATTTTTGACACTCTTCCACAGAAATCTTCCCCCACTCCACTACCACCCTTTCCCATAATTGATGAACTCCTGTAGGAGCACTCTCATAACCTGAGAGATCTTTTGAGGTGATTCCAAGTGTGTTCAATTGGGTTGAGGTCTGGAGATTGTGCAGGCCAGTCTAGAAGCTTGATATCCTGCTCTTTAAACCATTTATGGGCTCTTCTAGAGGTATGCTTGGGGTCATTATCTTGTTGAAAGATAATGTCATCTTCTGGAATTCCAGATTCCTCCATGCTTTGAAGCAACCCTTCCTGCAAAATGGCCACATACTGTTCAGCATCCATCCTTCCCTCAACTGCACTCAGAACCCCAACACCATTCCACCCTATACATCCCCAATCATGAGTGAACATCCTCCAAACTTGACTGTACCTTTGACCTCTCTAGAAATAAGCCCTTCACCCTTCTTTTGCCACACATACTCTTGTCCATCTGACCCAATCCTGTTGATTTTGGTCTCATCTGACCATATAACTCTCTTCCAGTCCTCCACAGTCCAATGCTGATACTTAAGAGCAAAGGCTAACCTCTTCTTCTTGTGACCAGTAGAAAGCAATGGCTTTTTCCCCTTCACCACAGCCTTCAATGAGGTTTCTTTGAGTGTATTTCTCACTGTCTAAGAAGAAACAGGACTATCAACAACAGAGTTGATGAAATGAGTGGCTTGAACAGCATTTTTGGCCTTGCCAGTAAGGATTTGCCAAACAATAGCTCTCTTGTTGGTAGAGGAAAGCTTGGAAGGGCAACCACCATGAAGCCTAGACCTCTCTGGTTGGATTTCCTGAAGAACCTGAGATACTGTAGACTTCCCTAGACCAGTCTGTGAGGCAATCTTCCTAGTGGACAGGCCAAGAGAGGCAAGAGAGATGATGTTTTGTCTTTGAGAGGTGGACATGGACTTCATGGTGATGATGAGAAAATGAGCAGAGGGTGGTGCGGTTTATATATGTTGGATCATACTCAATACATAAAGGTAACATAATAGAACCCTTGATGGATGTATGTAACAATATAACAGCATGCCAGGGTCAATATATATAATCAAAACTTTAAGTCAAAAAACTGTCCACATAACATGTCATTTTCAAATGGCTGCTATTCTATTAATTCCTATCCAAATCACTTGATTCATGGACCAATAGAAAGCCAAGAGTAAGTACCTTATGTCATACACTCATGGTTCAGGGCTAGGGTTAGGGGTTATTGCATTTAGTCATAACTAACATAAAACATACAAACATGTGGACAGTTTTTTGAGCCACTGTATGCAAAGAGACGCAGATGATGGCATATACAAGCTTCATAAGCATCACTCTGGCTTCAGGTTTGCTAGGTAGCTTTGGACATAGTCCAGTAGAAAGTAGCTTGTCACCATCCAACAAAAGTCAAGAAGCTTGATGCCTTGCCCTGATGTCATGTATGGAATCAAGGTTTTGAGGCAAGGATTTCACTACAAACTTTGCCCAGGGTCTTTCAAAAAGGAGTCTTGCATCATCATTTTCAGTTCAAATACAGTGTGATTAGGAGGGGGGCCATGATATATTGGTGGATTCAAAGTACAGGGGTCATCAGAGAGGTCATATTTTGTGATGATGATGATGATGAGTTTGTTGCCTGATTTGGGAACCAATGACATCAGACTGATATGTATCTTCAACAAAGATGCTTGGTCAGAGGGCTAACTTTTGTGACTTGCTCTTAAAATTCATGTATTCCATCAGAGCCTATTTACATTTGTTCATACTTGTAGCAATCTTGGAAGATATGAAGCTAGGAAGTTACATACTATCAACAAATTCCAGGGTACTTGGAGGCACTCATTTAGCACTCCCAATTTTTTTCATTGCAAGTGAATTTGAAGCTCAGATTAGTGGCGAGGTTGCCACACTTTTGCCTGTGGTGTCTGGCTCAAATTGTAAACCCTCTAACTGGGAAGTCATGGAGTCCATGGAGTCATTTACAGCCTGATCAGCCTGTTGAGTAGAAGAAAATGGTGCTGAGGTAAATGCATATTGTGTTTCCTTAGTGTTGGAGGGACCTGGAGGTTTCAAAGAGCTTCCAGGTGTCGACACTGTTTCTATGCTTGGGTCCCTGTGCAGGAGATCAATTGGAGAAGTATACTAGGCACAAGGATAAGTAAGGTAAAGAAAAGGGTTGAGTAGGCATGCTCACCTCAGTCATGGACAAGTAGTGACAATGTCTGAGGTGATGAATCTACTGTGTGAAACTAAATACTGTAGGTATTACAATACTGAAACCTGCAGATGTTGAATCTGCAACTTACATGACAAGGGCAGTCTGTTTGAGATGTGCTACATTCTTTGTAAGTAATGAGGAATGTGCACATAAGTGCAAGACACAATGAATACAATAGGCACAAGGGCATGAAAGTTAATTGTGCAGTCAACAGTAATGTAAAGTGTGAAAACCTAAGCAGAAAGTAATTCTCATGTCTCAGAGCAGATGCATTCAGGCTACACATGACTTGCCAAATCTAACAAGGCCTCCATGAGAGGTGCTTCCCCCCCAGCTACATGTGTGCTCTCCTCAAATACAAACAGCATAGATTCTGCTTCATTTCCTGTGAGGAAACCCACCACCCTCCTTTTGCATGCAGAAGCCAAGTCCAATCCCCAAATGACGGATGCTGGTTATCACTTGACTTTGCCATCATGCCCCATTGGCACTCCCTACCTTTTGCTACATTCTACTGCTTGGGTATTGTCAACACCATCTGGACTAGGCTGGAGGGCATGTTTGTGGCTCTTCCTTGTTATGTGTCCCACCTATCCTCCACATTATTGACAACTGCTCATATGCCACACTCTGCCACCCCATAAACCACTAACTCATACCTTTAAATAGATACAACATCTACCACCCAACATAAAACCAACAAAAACAAGTAGTTATGTTTTGCCTTCGTAGACAGCACACTCATAGAACAAACAATCCCATAAAGACATTTCCCTACCATGGCAACTGCATTTCAATAACGATGTGAATGTGACGTGTAAAAGTGCCCTGCATCCAGGAGCGACCGGAGGGCTATTGTATGATATCCATACAGACATACCTGACAAGGTATCCCTAGAGCAATACACTATAGTCTTCACTTCACCTTTTTCTGACTCGTTTTTGGCATGAATTTCACTTTATTTTCTGCCGCGAGCGTGGTAAGTTGGTGAGTGGTCGTCCATTTTTCCATATCTTTCCCATTGTTGCGCAATGATGTAATCAAGTCCTCCTTTACCGTTTCGAACTCCCTCCCAAGGCGCCCAGCGTGAATTGTCGCGAGTCGACAAAGGACTGTCGCGTATTGCCACGCTCCCAACGGTGTAGAAATGTCCAGCCTTTCAACTAGCCGTTCAAAGAGGTGGACGATCTGCTTATGGTAAAAAGTCAGACGGCTACATGTACGACATTCGCTGGGGGGTGCCACGTACATTGTCATCATCTCGTAGGACTGCCGCAGGTAAGGACACAACAGGGCCATCGGCCTTAACCCCATATACAGGGAAGTTCGCGACTCCAACGGTCTGCAAGAACTTGACTGACGCGGTGAGGTACATCCTGAGCTGATTCGTTGTTTTCGCCAGATCACCAGATTTCTTCTTGTATTGCACCACAACAACAGGCAGGTCTAAAAGTGTGGCATCTGGCTCAAATTGTAAACCCTCTAACTGGGAAGTCATGGAGTCCATGGAGTCATTTACAGCCCGATCAGCCTGTCGAGTAGAAGAAAATGGTGCTGAGGTAAATGCGTATCGTGTTTCCTTAGTGTCGGAGGGACCTGGAGGTTTCAAAGAGCTGCCAGGCGTCGACGCTGTTTCTATGCTTGGGTCCCTGTGCAGGGGATCAATCGGAGCACCGTCGTTGCGCCCAGAAACCTTCGTTACATCTCCGCGCGTGGAAGCCCAGGTGGCATCGTTCCGCCTCGAAGGCTTGGCCGCATCGTCGGCCCTGCCCCTGGCAGTCGGCGGGGCGCGATGGACGAGTGGGAACTGACCAAGATCTTCAACTGTTGCGTTTGAGAGCTTCACCCGCAAACAACCCAATGCATCACATTTTCCATCCTTCGGGGACATTCCAAGCCTTGTGATCGTCTCTGATTCTTTCTCCGTCTTCCTCTGCGTCACCCAATGCGAAAACCGACCACAAACGTACGAAGCACTGTCCGTTTCTCTGTCTGCTTCGGCGCTCGCATCAGAAGCACTGGCGCGTGAATCGAGCCATCTTCTCGTGATGTCAGGATCAAACTCAAGTAGCCGAAACACCAAAACTTCAAATTCCCATGTGGCGCGTTGCAGCAAATCGCTCTTGGGAAAGCGGAGGGTAGTTTCAAGACTAGAGGGTTGTCAGAAATGATCCATTATGTCAACAACAACGCACGTTGGGCGAACTTGTAAATCTTCAAGATGTGCGACGGGCTTGTCGCCACCCAAGAGTGTTCCAGCATCGACCTGAACGAGACGTATGAAGAAGTCGAACAGAAAACGATCATGGTCATGACGCCACGATACTTCATACTCATCGCCAATAACTTTCTTTTCGCGGGAACGGCGGGGCGCTTGGAAGATCGCAGAGAAACACTGTTCAAGAATTCGCAAATCGAATGGGAATTCATCCGGATGGAAAAGTTTCACTGCGTTTCGGGACTTCAGAATGGCAACACTAGCGAGCAACTCTTGGATGCATGGCTCAAGTGCAGCATCAACGGGCGGTAGATTGTCCTGTGAGTGACGATGAGCAAATGGAAATACACAACATACAATGACGCACTCTGACGTTCCACGTCATCGGCCAAATGAAGCCCGTCATTGCAATGTATTCATCATGAAAGAACTTCGGATCAAATGCGAGAGACTTTGGCAATACTTTTCGATCCAATAGCCAACTAAACATCCTGTCATCATTGGCCTCCGAGGTGTCCGCAAAGCTACCCAATAAAATGAAAATGTTCATCAAGAATGAATGATGGCGCCTGAAAAATACATACCAAGAACATGACATTTGCGAAACTTGAAGCAAAGTTGGAATGGTGTCAAACATTTCACTGGCAGGTGGGCTGGTCGTGTCCTCGCCTTCACCAAGCCTAACGATGTCCCTGGGAGTGGCCAATGGTTACAAAAGGACACCACTGTGAGATAACACTCACGGGATGGATGGACCTTCTCGCGCAGGTCGAACCGCAGCGGGACTGCTGGTCCGTGGTGGCACGTCCCTATAATAGTCTGTTGGAGAAGGGGAGGAAGAAAATGAGAGGACGAACTCTGAATATTTCTGGCTCTCCTGCCACTTTATAATCCTATCTCGGATGTTCTGCATCTTTGAAGGGAAAACAGCGTCTTCTTCCCGAGCGTCCGAATCGACCCGCCAAGAACGGGCCGTGTGGGTTTGGGTCTCGGCGGCAATGGTGCCCACAACATTCCTAACGCTGTCACGGAGATCACATATAGGTGATTCTAGACTCATGAGCAGTCGCGAGACGGCAAGAGATATGAGCGGTGATGATAAATCTAGGGTGGCAGACGTCTCTATGCTGCCGAGATGCACGCGTGGCTGAATACGAGGTCAGTGTCGGGAGGAGGGGGGGGGGAGGGGGGGACAGAAAAATGTTTGGTACTCACGAGGTCACGGCCTTGAGAGTCGTCCTCTAGCCATCCGACGTACAGACGGATGATCGTGTCATATTTTGAGAATACTATTCCAATCAATGGGTCATCGATGTGCCATACACGTCGCTGATAGAGTGTAGTCGCACATGGTTTTTGTTTGTACAAAATTGTTTTCGTACACAAGAACCATATCTAAAGAGCGTGGGAACTGCTAAAAACTGCTGTTAAGGGTGCTTGGACTAATGTGTGGTTCAATCCCGAATCGCGAACTATTTTCGGATTCAATTCCACGTGGGTAACAGACCTGTCTGAGCTTGCCGTGGGTTTAAAACGAGCCAGTATCGTTAATCGACTAACATTCCTCACTCCGACAGCGTGCATGGAGTCGTATGTGAACTCGATTAGTGAGGAAGTCTTGCGCAGCGAGGATATCTCTACCTGGCCCCGCGCTACCGTCCAGCTCGCCCAGTCTATACGCGATGCGTTCAAGGTGCCTACATGGTTGAAATCAGTGAGTGTATGACGGTCTATTCAATTCTGAACTGTTTACCTTGGGCTGGCTTCCGAAGGAACTCCCCCCGTATACGGACAAGCGGGCTTTCCATCTACTTGACCAACTACGGGCGATAGACGACGAGTCGATGCGCCACTTGTGGGTGGACATAGATACGGTCGGCGACAATTCGCGTCGACGACTCCATTTCGCCTTTGCCACCGCCCTCTCCGACTGTGCCAGGATTCAGGTTGCCGCCGAAATGGAGGAATCATCAGAAACACCTGTGCCCAAGGAATCTTTCGTCGTGATCCTTGTGCGGAACGCCATCTTGAATGTCATCTCAGGGCTCTCTTCACTGTAAGTCGATCTTACCCCTCATTTGCTTGTATTCATCAATCTGCATCATTCAGCGAGGACGTCCTGGTGGCGCTTCCCCGTCAGCTTGGTGGGGAGCCAACTCCGGCACTGAAGTACATGAGAAAGAATCTCAACGCACCACTCGTCATTTCAATCTGCGAGAAAATGCCTGTCGAGGAAGAAGAGAAAGACGGCAACGGACAGTCGGAGCAGGAGGAATCTAGCGACGAATGTTGGCCGGTCCAGATTCCGCGGTCAGTGACGATGTCCGAGTTCCTTGCAACGCCCACAACAGTCGAAGAGGTGGAGGAAGAGGTCGAAGATGATCCCGGAGTTCTCTCCCCACAGTTTGAGGCCCACTTCCTCGCATATCCTCCATCTTCCCCTTTGCCATCTACTTGTCACATACCTGTGCTCTGCATGGCCACCGAGAAGCATCTTCCAGTGGTGATGACTAGTTTACTCTATCAGCGACGTGTATGGCACATCGATGACCCATTGATTGGAATAGTATTCTCAAAATATGACGCGATCATCCGTCTGTACGTCGGATGGCTAGAGGACGACTCTCAAGGCCGTGACCTCGTGAGTACCAAACATTTTTCTGTCCCCCCCTCCCCCCCCCTCCTCCCGACACTGACCTCGTATTCAGCCACGCGTGCATCTCGGCAGCATAGAGACGTCTGCCACCCTAGATTTATCATCACCGCTCATATCTCTTGCCGTCTCGCGACTGCTCATGAGTCTAGAATCACCTATATGTGATCTCCGTGACAGCGTTAGGAATGTTGTGGGCACCATTGCCGCCGAGACCCAAACCCACACGGCCCGTTCTTGGCGGGTCGATTCGGACGCTCGGGAAGAAGACGCTGTTTTCCCTTCAAAGATGCAGAACATCCGAGATAGGATTATAAAGTGGCAGGAGAGCCAGAAATATTCAGAGTTCGTCCTCTCATTTTCTTCCTCCCCTTCTCCAACAGACTATTATAGGGACGTGCCACCACGGACCAGCAGTCCCGCTGCGGTTCGACCTGCGCGAGAAGGTCCATCCATCCCGTGAGTGTTATCTCACAGTGGTGTCCTTTTGTAACCATTGGCCACTCCCAGGGACATCGTTAGGCTTGGTGAAGGCGAGGACACGACCAGCCCACCTGCCAGTGAAATGTTTGACACCATTCCAACTTTGCTTCAAGTTTCGCAAATGTCATGTTCTTGGTATGTATTTTTCAGGCGCCATCATTCATTCTTGATGAACATTTTCATTTTATTGGGTAGCTTTGCGGACACCTCGGAGGCCAATGATGACAGGATGTTTAGTTGGCTATTGGATCGAAAAGTATTGCCAAAGTCTCTCGCATTTGATCCGAAGTTCTTTCATGATGAATACATTGCAATGACGGGCTTCATTTGGCCGATGACGTGGAACGTCAGAGTGCGTCATTGTATGTTGTGTATTTCCATTTGCTCATCGTCACTCACAGGACAATCTACCGCCCGTTGATGCTGCACTTGAGCCATGCATCCAAGAGTTGCTCGCTAGTGTTGCCATTCTGAAGTCCCGAAACGCAGTGAAACTTTTCCATCCGGATGAATTCCCATTCGATTTGCGAATTCTTGAACAGTGTTTCTCTGCGATCTTCCAAGCGCCCCGCCGTTCCCGCGAAAAGAAAGTTATTGGCGATGAGTATGAAGTATCGTGGCGTCATGACCATGATCGTTTTCTGTTCGACTTCTTCATACGTCTCGTTCAGGTCGATGCTGGAACACTCTTGGGTGGCGACAAGCCCGTCGCACATCTTGAAGATTTACAAGTTCGCCCAACGTGCGTTGTTGTTGACATAATGGATCATTTCTGACAACCCTCTAGTCTTGAAACTACCCTCCGCTTTCCCAAGAGCGATTTGCTGCAACGCGCCACATGGGAATTTGAAGTTTTGGTGTTTCGGCTACTTGAGTTTGATCCTGACATCACGAGAAGATGGCTCGATTCACGCGCCAGTGCTTCTGATGCGAGCGCCGAAGCAGACAGAGAAACGGACAGTGCTTCGTACGTTTGTGGTCGGTTTTCGCATTGGGTGACGCAGAGGAAGACGGAGAAAGAATCAGAGACGATCACAAGGCTTGGAATGTCCCCGAAGGATGGAAAATGTGATGCATTGGGTTGTTTGCGGGTGAAGCTCTCAAACGCAACAGTTGAAGATCTTGGTCAGTTCCCACTCGTCCATCGCGCCCCGCCGACTGCCAGGGGCAGGGCCGACGATGCGGCCAAGCCTTCGAGGCGGAACGATGCCACCTGGGCTTCCACGCGCGGAGATGTAACGAAGGTTTCTGGGCGCAACGACGGTGCTCCGATTGATCCCCTGCACAGGGACCCAAGCATAGAAACAGCGTCGACGCCTGGCAGCTCTTTGAAACCTCCAGGTCCCTCCGACACTAAGGAAACACGATACGCATTTACCTCAGCACCATTTTCTTCTACTCGACAGGCTGATCGGGCTGTAAATGACTCCATGGACTCCATGACTTCCCAGTTAGAGGGTTTACAATTTGAGCCAGATGCCACACTTTTAGACCTGCCTGTTGTTGTGGTGCAATACAAGAAGAAATCTGGTGATCTGGCGAAAACAACGAATCAGCTCAGGATGTACCTCACCGCGTCAGTCAAGTTCTTGCAGACCGTTGGAGTCGCGAACTTCCCTGTATATGGGGTTAAGGCCGATGGCCCTGTTGTGTCCTTACCTGCGGCAGTCCTACGAGATGATGACAATGTACGTGGCACCCCCCAGCGAATGTCGTACATGTAGCCGTCTGACTTTTTACCATAAGCAGATCGTCCACCTCTTTGAACGGCTAGTTGAAAGGCTGGACATTTCTACACCGTTGGGAGCGTGGCAATACGCGACAGTCCTTTGTCGACTCGCGACAATTCACGCTGGGCGCCTTGGGAGGGAGTTCGAAACGGTAAAGGAGGACTTGATTACATCATTGCGCAACAATGGGAAAGATATGGAAAAATGGACGACCACTCACCAACTTACCACGCTCGCGGCAGAAAATAAAGTGAAATTCATGCCAAAAACGAGTCAGAAAAAGGTGAAGTGAAGACTATAGTGTATTGCTCTAGGGATACCTTGTCAGGTATGTCTGTATGGATATCATACAATAGCCCTCCGGTCGCTCCTGGATGCAGGGCACTTTTACACGTCACATTCACATCGTTATTGAAATGCAGTTGCCATGGTAGGGAAATGTCTTTATGGGATTGTTTGTTCTATGAGTGTGCTGTCTACGAAGGCAAAACATAACTACTTGTTTTTGTTGGTTTTATGTTGGGTGGTAGATGTTGTATCTATTTAAAGGTATGAGTTAGTGGTTTATGGGGTGGCAGAGTGTGGCATATGAGCAGTTGTCAATAATGTGGAGGATAGGTGGGACACATAACAAGGAAGAGCCACAAACATGCCCTCCAGCCTAGTCCAGATGGTGTTGACAATACCCAAGCAGTAGAATGTAGCAAAAGGTAGGGAGTGCCAATGGGGCATGATGGCAAAGTCAAGTGATAACCAGCATCCGTCATTTGGGGATTGGACTTGGCTTCTGCATGCAAAAGGAGGGTGGTGGGTTTCCTCACAGGAAATGAAGCAGAATCTATGCTGTTTGTATTTGAGGAGAGCACACATGTAGCTGGGGGGGAAGCACCTCTCATGGAGGCCTTGTTAGATTTGGCAAGTCATGTGTAGCCTGAATGCATCTGCTCTGAGACATGAGAATTACTTTCTGCTTAGGTTTTCACACTTTACATTACTGTTGACTGCACAATTAACTTTCATGCCCTTGTGCCTATTGTATTCATTGTGTCTTGCACTTATGTGCACATTCCTCATTACTTACAAAGAATGTAGCACATCTCAAACAGACTGCCCTTGTCATGTAAGTTGCAGATTCAACATCTGCAGGTTTCAGTATTGTAATACCTACAGTATTTGTGCAAATCCATAGAGTTATCTGTGACTTGGTCAACACCTTTCAGCATGTGAGGCATGTCAAGAATGATGGGGGAGGAGGGGGAAAAGCAGTCAGATGAGGTATTTCAGTAAAGTCATGCCTTACCTGACATAAAAAAACCCATGGAGTTATTCAGTAAAATGGCAGGTTGTTGGGATGGAATAATGATGCTTGTGGTGATTACATGAGTAGTGAGTGGAACAAAAGGAAAATATCAGAAAAGAAGATTGGTGTCATGCTTTATCATGATAAATACCAGGTGGAACGAACCACAAGGAATATACAACAACCAATACAGAAAGAGTACATACCACTTCGTAATAACATACACATGCAATGGTAGTGAGCAGAATGGAAGATGTAATAACAAAAATGGAGGAGATACATTGCTAATAAGTGGAGACTCGAACCCCTGAAGGCCCAAAACAGAGGGAATATGTACCACTTGGTAATGGAATACATGTGCAATGGCAGTAAGCAGAGAGCCTTGGAAGATGAGCTCTGTTCATGTGGGTTTCATGTGTGTGATTGACAATGAAACATTGGTAAATGCCAGAACAGCAAGAGAACAGTAAGGAAGATGCAACAACCAAGACAGAGGGAATATGTACCACTTAGTAATATGATACATGTGTGACAACAGTGAATGGAAAGGCTCAGACAATGCCATGACTCTGTTCCCAAGGGTCTCATAGATGCAATCAATGAGAACCTTTGAGGGCTCCAAACCCCCAAGGGTGCCAAGCCCTCAACTCTTGTGGACAACTGTGCCAAATGGTCAGGGCAAGAATGGATGGAGGTCAGTAACAACACATCCATGAACAGATCCCAATCTTGAAACCTTTGTATTTGTGATATCTCCACTTACCTGCACCAGGTGGAAAATCCATTAGTAGTTGTGTTGTTGGTTACACTTGAGCCAAATTAAGAATTAAAAATAAACAGCAAAGCTTTATACAAAACAAGTATGTTTACAGGGTCACCATGAAAAATACTCTGGTCAAAGTATGCCAACACCCATCCACCAGGGATGGATCCCTTGGTTCTACATCCAGATGTCTGCAGACAAGAACAGTGGCAGAGTCAGGGGTGTCAGTGGACGTTAGATGGATTGATACAGGTGGAGTGGGGACCTCCAGTCTGATGGGGGAAAAGGGGAGGAAAGGGACCACAGTGGTGCCCTCCTGACAGGATGACGACATTGAGGGAGCTGAACTTGATGGAAATGATAGTGCTATGGGAGATGATTACTGTCAAGGAACAAAAATCTTGGAAAATCACCCACCTTCACACTGGGATCTCAAAAGTAGGATGTTGGCAAGGGTTGCAGCATCGACTGTGCTCAGTTCAAGATGCAAAACAATAGTGATTAGAGTGCCTGCATAACCCTTGAATGTTAGCTATCAGACAGTGGTTAGAAAATCATGCACTTAGGTTGATGGCACTTATGCTTCACCCATTATCAAGTGAGGGTGGCTGGCACATAGTGAGATGAGGATTGGAAGGGAGAGGGAGAGAAACACAGACAATATTGTAAGTCAATAGGCAGATCTCCAACAGAAGGTTCTTCTTCCCCATTTGTTAGCAGCCATGGAATAACATGTAGAATCTGCCTCGGTGAATCCTGCATGCACAGTCTGTAGAGATGTCATAATTACACTCTTGTTAAATGGATCATTGTGCACCCCAGGTAAAGAATATAACTAACAGAATAGATGCAAAGGCTAAACACTTACTTGTTCACAGCTCACTATGATGGAAGTGGAGAAAACACTAGGAAGGACAGGAAGACTTAATTAGCATCCCTACACAGGAGTAATCAGGGATCAGGAACTGAGGAAACAAGCAAGCCTTGAACTCACCAGCTTGTAAAATGAATGGAATATCCTTGGGAAACAAAATGGTAGAGTTTAGGGTATATCCATACCAAGATGACTTTTGAAGGCTCCAAGCCTTTGAGAGCTGCCAAGGGCACCAAGCCCCTGGCACTTGGTGGGGGATGCACCAAACATTCCCCTGGCATAATAGATGTCAAAGAGAATGTACTGTTGACCATGAAAGTAAGAAAGTGAAGAAGAGAAACCTGATTAGCATCTCCACACAAAGGTGGTTGGAGCTCAGCGAAGGAAGGGAGATGCAAGCCTCAAACTCACTGGCAGGCAAATTGAAAAGACTCTAGTATCAGAAGGAGAAGACAGAACTGGGGGTAGCCATGGCAAACCATCAGCCTTAATAGATAATGGAGAGAACACTACATTAACCAGGAAAGTAAGAAAGCGAGTAAGAGAAACCCAATTAGTGTCCCTATACAAAGACAATTGGAGATCAGTGAAGGAAGGGGGAGATGCAAGCCTCAAACTCACCAGTGGGAAAAGTGAAGGAGTCTTGTCTCAGACAGACAAGGCAGAGCTGGGGGTAGCCACAGAAAACCATTGGCCTTAATAGATGATGGAGAGAATGCTGCCTTAAGCAGGAGAGTAAGAAAGTGAGCAAGAGAAACCTGATTGGTGTCCCTATACAAAGACAATTGGAAATCAGCCAAGGAAGGGAGATGAAAACCTTGAACTCACCAACAGGCAAAGTGAATGGAGTCTTGTCTGAGAAGGAGAAGGCAGAGATGGGGGCAGCCAAGGACAAATGTTGACCTTAACAGATGATGGAGAGAATGTAGCATTGATCAGGAAGTTTGAGAAAGTGAAGAGAAACTTGACTAATGTCTTGGGGAGATGCAAGCCTTGAACTCACCAGCAGGTAACATGAACAGCTGAGTCTCATTTGGGAAGTAAAAGATGGACTCCAGGGTAACCAAGGAAAGCTGGCAGTCTTCAATGCCCTGAGTTGTGCTATATGAAGTAGCACCTCGATGAGATGGAGTCTCATCTGCACAATCAACAGCCAATCCATACCAAGATGACTCTCGAAGGCTCCAAGCCTTCGAGAGCTGTCAAGGGCACCAAGCCCCTGACACTTGGTAGGGGATGCACCAAGCATTCCCCTGGCATAGGATTGATGATGAGAGTGGAGAGTAGAGAAGGGGAACAAGTGTGCGAACATGTCAACATTGTGTATGTTTGGTTACTAAGTATGCACCTATGACAATTAATTTGTCAGTATTTCCTCCAGGACTTTGGTTTGAATTGAACATGGGGGCATTACAACATATGTTATATATTAGGTTCAGGCACCAATGAGCCTGCCCCACATGCATGAACCTGACTGCATACTGGCAGCATTGTAATGTTGCCATGGCACTGCCACCACTAAATAGTCCATGTGCACCACCAGCAAATTTCTCATGCTAAGTCAGCTCTGACTTAATGCAGTAATGATCACATGCTCACTGCACTTGTCACACTTCTTTTGCAAGCCCTTCAAACAATCCACATGTTTTAATCCATGACTGCCTTCATGCTACTGTCTAAGGTGAGTTCTTCTTTCTTCTTCTTTCTTATTATCAATTTGTGTCACAGAGAGGAATGTTTGGCATGTTCCTCTGCCAGGATTTGAAGGGTTTGGTGCCCTTTGAGCACTGAGATAGGTTTGGTGCCTATCTCAGTAAACTTGGCATGCTCATGGTACCAGTCACATGGACAAGACTCCATTTCGTGGAGGCATGCTACCTTGCATAGCACAACTCAGGGCATTGAAGACTGTGTGCCCAGCATCTGTGCATGAAATCTTCATCAGGTGCAAGGTTCTATATACCGTGTAGGTGCATGATCCACTTGTTTTCTCATTTATCTCCCCCTTGATGGTCTCACAGATACCAGCAATGCT